TGTAATTTTTGTTTTATAACTATTCAAATTGTTATTTCCTTCAATAAAATATATATTGATTTTTTTTCCAATAAAGGATTTTCTATCAGATTTCAATTATTATATAATGATTTTTCACACCGGCTTGATATGACCAATGGGATGGGTTGTCAATTACTGAGTGTTGTACTCATCCATTTTCTTTTCACATTTTCAGACACCAAGGAGTATCTTTTGCAATTTGCTTGGGTGTGGGAAGAGTAGAGAGCTCGTTTTGCTAGTGCATTTGTCTTGAAATCACGATTAGATCTCATTAGTTAATTGTTTATTTAATTTTTTTCCTTTGTGTTTTAGAAGAACTATTCTTTGAAGATAATTATTGCTTGAATAGGATCATAAGACACGTGGCGAAACCCTAGTAGTGCTTCCCTAACAACTGATAGCGAATCCAATATTCCCTTTCATAGTGGGAATCAAAGGCTTTTGGCTCCTTCCTTTCGGGACCTCGGGATCTCTCCCTATAAATAGGGGTCCATCTCATAACAAAGAGATCATCTTATCACTCACATTTGCCCTAACCTTTAGCCTACCTCCTGCCTCCGGTCTTCCTTTGTCCTTCAAGGAGAACCTTGTACGTAGCCTAACCACCTTACTTATATATATATATATAACTGTGTGTGTGTGTGAATCTATCAAACTGCTTGAACAATTTGGCCTATATGATCAAACAACTGACCTAAAAACCAATGGTCAAAGCGGTACAGTTTTCGAGTTGGTTTTTAAAACCTTGGTATTATGTATTACCAAAAAACAAATTAAAAGAAAAAAAATTACTTTCACTTCTTTAAAAAGGAATGGGAATGCTCTCCTTTTAGTAGATGCGGATACTACTTTTTTGTAAACGAAATTTTCCCAATTAATTATGCAACAAGAGATAATAGGGTAAATATTACTATATAATATTTGAATAACAAATTTTATATTAATATATATAGAAATGTTATATATTTTTTATACTAAACCAGAATTAAATAAAATTTTAATTTGTAAAAAAATCATAGTTTTATAATTAACACGGGCCTCTTTATCAGCAGAAAATGGCAAGCACGAGCCCGAACTTGAACCCGACCCGACCATCGGGCCTAGATCTTGAGCCCGAGCCTAGCCCTTATATAAAGTCCGATCTGTACACAAAATGTATTATTTTTAGTATACTTTTATAAACTAATATTATATTAATTTAGTAATAACTTAATAAATTAATAAACTAATTTATATTTCATAATAGTAAATTGATATTTATTAATAATTTAAAAAGCAGATGTATATTATATTTATTATATATAACATAAGTACTTTTTTATATATGTAATAGTATTGGGCCGGGCTTATTTGAGAAAGCTCAAGCTTGAACCCACGAGCCTGAAATTTTGTCAAAGCTTGAAAAATAATGGATCAGGTCAGGCTGGGCCGTCGGGCTATCTGACCCATGAATAGGTCTAATTGTATATATAAACAATTGTATACATAAAAAATCATATGAAATAAAAATTTAAACATATTTTTCATTTTTTTTCTAAAAATGGACCTCTCATAGCTTAGCTCGATCCACGGCCTGGCTTGGCCCAAGGCTTGGCCCAACACGACCCGATTTACACCTCTTCTTGAACCCGCCTAATGCTGGGGACAGGGTGGGGAAATTCGAGAATTCCCCATCCTTAATGAGGAGTGGGGTGCCTTGCCCCTGAACTTGCCTGACATTGAAGAGTGGTTGCCTTGCCTTGAACCCGCCTGACACTGGGGATGGGGTAGAGTGTCTTGACTAAGGGGCAGAGACAGGGATSGGGTGCCCCACCCTGTTGTCATTCCTATGTAATTGTTAATTATTAGTGAAATTAATAAAAAATGTTAGCTTTTGTAATTATTTTTGTTTATTTAAAGTTAATCAAAATTTCATTTAAAAATAATAAAAATAATAACAATTATTAAAATTACTATAAATTATTAAAAAAACTAAATTTATTAAAAAATATTTGTTCATATTAAATTAACAATAATTATTTTCCGTAAATCAACATTAAATGAAAATATAGTTATTAAAATTTTAGATATTAACAATAACTTTGAATACTTTTAATTAATTAATAAGAAATTTTTATTATTAATTTAATATTAATTAATAGTAAATAAAATTATTAAATCTTTCAGATTTTCTTGTATAATGCACGAGCCCGCTAGTTTTTTTTATCAACCATCCAAACATTGACAATAAAATGAAGAGTCCCAAATTCTAGATTCTTCTAAACAATCACCAACTTTTTTTAATAGAAGAGGCTAGGATTTGTGATTGTTTAGTTTTTTGCCAACGTTAGGATGGTTGATAAAGAGAAATGGATGGCATTCTAAGGGCATTTTTAACTTTTCAAATGTCACTTAACAACTAAATAATGGATTGGTTAAGGACAAGTACTATATTGTCACATTTTGAAAATTCGAGTACTGGAATAACAACAACACTTTCTATTTGGTACCAATGCTCTATGTCTGTTTTTAGCATTAGTACCCATTATAGGAACTCCACGTCACTACCACATCACGTCCTCGTTCGTAGCAACGAGCTGCAATCTGAGAAAATTCCAAATTCAGTGTTGCTTCAAACTATACATTTTCGATTTCTAAGGCGTGACTTGGAGCACCATTTTTTTATGGAAAAACGATTCTAAACAAACTTTTCCGATGTGGCATTGATGTGTCACTGTTTTTTGGAGCAATGACATTGATGCCAAACAAACGCTTAAAGTACCCCTACTGGTTTTTGATAATTGTCTAAAACCTCCCTTACCGTTATTTTTCCTCGCAAGTCATTCACATGTAACATCACATAACTTATATTTTTAAAATTCCTAAATTACCTTCTTATGTACTATTCATTATCCTCAACCTTGAGACAAATAGCAGAGCAACATTGATAGCAACCCCTACTCCTGATTTGGTCAATAGGCACTCACCCCGCCAAATTTGTTGTTTCAACTTTGAATTAGGATTCGGGAGGGAAGCTCCTCCTTGTGGTCGATACAGGCAGCAATCTCGTTTGGGTCAAGTGCTCTGCTTGTCGGAACTGTAGTAAATACACTCCATGCTCGACCTTTCTAATCCACCATTTGATGACATTCACTCCGATTCACTATTACGACACAGCGTGTCAACTCATCCCACACCCTGTTAAACACCAACCCTACAACCATACTCTCCTTCACAATACTGGCCACTACGATTACTCATATGCCGATGAATCTAGAACAAATGGGTTTTTCTCTAGGGAGATGGTAATGTTGAATACAAGCTTTGGAAGAGTTGTTCAACTGAAAAAGCTTGATTTTGGTTGTGAATTTTGCGTCTCTGGTCTGAGTGTTTCAGGTGTGTACTTCAATGGCGCCAATGGAGTTATGAGACTTGGGTGAGGGCACATCTCCTGGGTAAGCGGTTTGTTATTCAAATATTAAATATATGCATATTTACAAACTAAGATGTAGATACTACTTTTTTGTAGATGCGGATACTCGTTGAGAGACGTTTTGCAGCCCCCTTTAAAAATCTGATTTGCAGCTCCCGTGGATTTGGCACCAACCCATGGTCAGGATTAACCGTAAAAACTCAAAGATTCAAATCATTTAAATATAGACTATTATTAACTCAGTGCTTGCGTTGGTTTTGATGCATGTCATAAATTCTTGCCTTGGATTTTGGTTTTGATGTATGGCATAAAGGTTAAATATAATTATATAATGTCATTAAATCATTACCATTTACTTGTAGGGGTGTCAATTGGACCAGATTTGCTCCCATCCAATCTGGTACAGTATGAGTCCATTACAGATGGACCAAGTCCAATCCAATCCGATGAATATTTTAGACTATTTTAGACTAGTCCAATTCAAAATGGACCAGGTCCAATCCAATCCAATAAATATTTTAGACCATTAAATCTGGATTGGTCCAATGCAATATATCAAATCTGCCCAATTTGATTTTGATTTGGATGGGTTCCAACCCAAAACTGGTCCATTGACACTCATATTTATTTGCCTCTACACTAATCAACTAAAACAGTATTTTGATGATCCTTAGATATGATACAAAATGCCCCATATTAGATGTATCATATTGATACTTTAAACCTTGGTTCTTAGTAGGGACAACTAGTATACTTGGATGTTTTGTTTTGGACCGACCATTGACATGGTAAATTCAAGTTGGTGTTTTTATATGATTTCATTTGTATTTAGCAGCTTGAATCCTCTTTCCGTATGGTAATAAGGATGCAGATGGGGTGGGGTTGGATTGAGTTGAGAAATTGTCAAGGCTCAGTCTGATACTGTTTATATTTGTATTTATACTCTTTTTAAACTGGCCTTAAGGCTGTGTTTGGTTGCAGAGCAAATTTATTTGCACTAGTACAAATGCATAGGAGCGCAAATATAAAAAATGCAAATTCTTATTTAATTTTGTTTTGGGTTTTACTTTATTCTACTTCATGTCTTATTTTATTTCATTTGTACTGTAATCAAACAAAATAAGCTAAAATTTGAAACAAAAATAGGTTATAATTTACACTCAAATCATTTGTACTGTCATGGTTTTGCATCAGTACAAATTTATTTATATTGCAACCAAATACAGCATAAGGCTCAATTTGGAATATATGTAGAGTGTAAAATTAAAAAACCCGAACCCAATAAATGAAAAAACCAAACACAGCCTGTGTAAATTTGTAAGCTGACCGGCAGGCTTGGGTTGGGCCCGCCCAAGTTGCACCCTAAGAATAATTATGTTGCCACTCGGTCGAACGAGGAATTTGAATTAAAGTTATAAATGAATTCCGTTGTTTGACATTAAGATTTACCTTTCAAGCCAGGAAAGGAAAAGCTAGCCCAGCAGTCTAACTTACTATCTACATGCAATAAAATATTCACTCCTAATACAATTATACATCGTCAACTCCTGTTTGAAGGCCCCTGCAATTAAGTCCGGCCACCATCTTCGGCATTATCACCGTTGGCAGCATTCTGATGACTGCATATGATGTCTTTACCAAGCAATCTTAGTATCTTTCTCGGTGGTTCTTCATGTTTATCACCATGAGGACGTCTACTCCTAGCAACATTAGGACCACTACGAACATACCTCATCTTGCGTGTGTTGTCTTGATCAGACAATCTGCTTGTCTGATCAGGGGCGGGATTCTCATAGTCGACAACATAATGGTTGGCATTCATCTGCGGGAAAATTTTATAGAAACAGAGCTTACAGTCCTTCTGCAACTTGTGGCCTTTCACAAAATTCTTCCATCCCTTAGTGAACGAGTAGCTTTGACTCCTGGGGCAGTACTCAAATTTCACCTCCCATGTTCGATTTTGTCTGTCAGCGAGCTGTAGCATCTCCTTGTTATATCCATTACTTCCATTCTTCAGAGAAGGAAAATGGGCCTCAGCCAGATGTCTTGGGATGACAAGCCTGTTGAAGCGGCCTACATCACTCTGATACAAGATCTTATGAAAGAGAAGYTCTTCACGCCTTGGTGGTCTTGCGTCAGTTTCTGCAATGTTTGAACTTTCAGTACTTGGCAATGGAAGTGGGGCTAGGCTTTTGGGCGTCTGATCATCCCTTACTGCAGCAGCATGTTTGGGTGTTTCTCCCTGATCATCACCCATGAAAYCCCTGCAGTAGTTACATCACCAGCAATTGAAATTGAAAGCTATATGTCAAAAACAAATAATCAGATTTGGTAACAAAAGCAGAAGATTAAACTAACCTGTACTCTGAATTAATTAATGCTCTCTTCCTTGGAGTAATAAAAATCTTTTCTTTCTCACTTTCTTTCTCTACTACCTTCCAACTCGTAGATGCAAGAGAGAGAGAGAGGAATTTGATTGCAGGAGAGATGAGAGATTTGCACTATTATTTATAACTGGACTTGATCAAATAGTTGCAGAGACAGAGTTTAGTTCGGAATAGAAATGCATGTGGAGAGGGACTTGAACGCTGCCATCGACACTGAATTCCTTAGAGATCGGATTCAGTCTCGCAATAAAAATATACAAGTAAAGAGATATTCCCAATACACGGTTGCAAGTGACTGTGTGTTGTGAAGACTGAATCCGAGTTGGAATTCCTAAACATGTTTGATTCGTCTAGGATACTATTTAGAACGTTTGATGACGCATCAAGTGGGACCCAGTTGTCTTGAACAAGATTTCATAGAAGCCCTAGTCGTAGTTGGACTGTGATTGTTCAACGATCGATTGGAGAGTGTTCTTGGAGTGAAGGAAGAATTAGTTCTTCAAACAAACTGCCACCCGTAGAGAATCAAACCAATGGAATCAGACAGAACCAGTTAGAAGCTAAGAACAGATCGTAAACAGTAATTAGTTCTCCAGGTAGCAAACCTTTACCATGCACTAGCAATAGGAAAAGCCGAAGGAAACAACGAAGCTAAAGCAAAAATACTAAGGGTCCATTTGGTTTACGGTTGGATGGTCTATTTCCCCACTTATTTCGTTTAGACAGGAATGAGAACTGGGATTCGGTTTCATGCACATAATCACTTAAGTTCAATGGTTTTTCTCTTTTTTTCAACTCAATGGGGTTTGAAATAATAAATGTTTTGATTTCCTCAAGTTTTCCTTCTTATTTCTCTCTTTTTTTATCAAGATAGGTCAAGATATTGCACTAAATTCCCTATTCAAGCTTGTTTTTTTTCCAAAACTTTATATCGAGGACTCAAACATTCAAAAATGACTGTTTGAAACCATAGCCCATCTTGTTTCCCTATTAGGAGAAGTTTATAGATGATTACCAAGTGATTTTGAGCCATCCCAAAAGAGGGAAAGCTATTGGAGATCTAATATGACCATTACAATCATGTTATTAGAGATTTTTCGCTCCTAGTAGTCAATTGGTTAAATTAACTAGTTGAATCAAGATGACTAACTAGTCAACTATTTACCATAACTAGTCGATTATTAGATGAGATCATAATCTTCAGATTTAATTAGTTAACACCTTAAGTTCTCATAAATAATATTTTTGAATATTTTGGTTTCTAACGTTTGGGAAATGAGTTATTAGCCTCCCTAAAGGTGTAAAGCAAACACACTAAGGGTCCATTTGGTTTAAAGTTGGATGGTCTATTTCCTCACCTATTTGGTTTAAACAGAAATCATAATTGGTTGGAATGAATTCTCATTCCCAAGGGAGGCAAGTGTCCTGTCCCTAGTGGTGGCAATTGGACAGGTTGCGTTGAGTTTCAACTCAACCCATTTAACCCGCCAACCCGTTAACGACCCAATTATGTAAAATTAAATGGGTTGGGTTCAACCCAATCTAACCCGCCCAAACCCATTAATCTTATATTTATGTACTTAAAACAAAAAACTAACTCCATCATAATAAATAAGTTGGTTATAGCTTAATGGTAATAGTAGTTGTTATTTACACAAGTGGTGAAGGTTCAAATCACATTACATGCATTATTTAGTCAAACCAGACCCGAATAGATCGGATTTAGTCCGGTCGGGACCACACCCGGCCCGACCCACTTCGGATTTAGGTCGACCAGGATCAGCTTGTGTCTGGTCGGGCTGGGCTGTGTGAATAATATTTGGACCAGACTTGGGTGAAATTGATTTGGATTTATGTTGGGTGAATTTTGTTGATTCTAGACAAAACTAAATTTAGGCAACAATTAATAGAAAATTAATGCATTAATTATAAATTATTTAATTCAAATGAAGAAAATAAAAAAAAGGCTAAGAAATTAATACTTATGTTTGTAATGGTTAATCCAACCGTTATCCACATCCCAACCCATTTAAATGGGTGGGTTGGGTGATGGGTTGATCACACAACCCGCCAAGTAAATGGGCGGGTTAGATTCTGAATAGGTTGGGTGAAAAATTGCCACCCCTACCTGTCCCATTATGATTCTAGACCCCTATTCTTATGAACCAAATAGACATTAAACTCTATATCTATTGTCAACGCTCAATTTTTKCATGATTCGCCACATGAACCCCTAATTTACTCTAAACAATCGATCAAATCATTTCAATCACTCCAAAACACCAAAAAAACCTGAATTAACCAATTGACTAATTCTTTACCTATTTGCAAAAGCTCTTCGATGCACGACTACATCCTTTTGCCTCGACTATGTCCAATTGGCAGGACCTCATCTATTGCATGTTCGGTTCAGCACATATTGGATCATACAACATCACATAATATCAATACACTCGGATATGGCACAAGGGGTGTATCGAAACTTTGTACCATGCACCTATATTTTTTGTGTAGTTTTTTTTTTCAAAAAAAAAAAAGCGTCAGGGGATAAGTTTCTGACTTATCTACCCCCTAAAATAGGTCCAATGTCCGAAATACCTGTATTTGGTATAATGATGATCCATTGATATGATACGTAACGGGTTGATATCATACGTATTGGACAATACGGCTTGATATATAATAAAATTTTGAACCTTATAAAAATGGTAAACAGTCAGATGTCTTTCATCAAAATTTATAGGGGTTTTGATTAGTGAAAGCTTTTATGGTGTCATACATTTCCATCACATAGATTTACCCAATAAAAGTTTATAGAAAAAAAAAAGGATTTACCCAGGAAAAAAAAAATATATCAAAGAACTTGCCGGTTTGATGTTACTGCTGTGAAGATCAACCGATTGATCTATTGTGATCAAATGTTTTGCATTGCTCTTAATCCTTTTGTTTTCCTCAAAAAAATGAATTTTCCCGACATTTCAGACCCCCTACAGCATTGATTTATCAGACTTAAAACTGTTATACTTGTCATTCATGCTTTGCTTAACTGAGAATAAAAGCAGTAGAGCAGTGGCATCCATAACTGTTTTTATTTTATTTTTTATTGAATTGTGAGCTTCGGCTGGGGTTGATTTTTAGTGATTTTGGTGGACCGTGTTTTGCTTCTTTGAAAACATTTAGGCTGTGTTTGGTTTGAAAGAAAAAGTAGGGAAAGAAAGGAAAATGTAAGAAAACCCATACAAAGTTTGTAAAGGATTTTCTGCCTTTTCCTATTTTTTTTTCAAACCAAACACAACCTTAATAATAAAATCAATGGTGTTGTTTTATTTATTAAAGGGGTCAGTAGACTCGCCTGTTAGGTTTTGTTTATGTAAGGTCGAGCACAATGATGATATCAACAAGCACCAGTGGTCTAGTGGTAGAATAGTACCCTGCCACCGTACAGACCCGGGTTCGATTCCCGGCTGGTGCAATGGCTTTGCGGGGATAGCTCAGTTGGGAGAGCGTCAGACTGAAGATCTGAAGGTCGCGTGTTCGATCCACGCTCACCGCATTTTGTTTTCTTTTTTATTTTTCTCTATGAGGTTTGTCAACATGATATATGTCCCTTGATCTCTGATTTCAGGCTTCCTTGGAGCTCGATTTAAAAAAAATCATATATATACGTATGTTATTTATTTATTTACTTATATAATTTTTATATTATTTAGTTTATATATATGATGAAAATAGTTGAAATTTTTTTTTTGTTTTTCTTTATTTAAATTGTTATATTTTCTTCTCTTTTTAATAATTTGTTTTAAAAACATAAATAAATTGGGTTGAATCATATTTAGATACCCAACATTCTAATTGAATTCAAATTCAAATCAGTATTTATGAGATCCGATCGGATATCGAATCTGATTTAAATATACCTTGATTCGAATTCGATCCAATCTATTTGCATCCTAAGTTTATTGGCCATGGGGTCAAACAGCCATTGTGTATAGGATTATAGGTTGCTGCATCATAAAACAGTGAGGGMTATTAATTATGATAACCACCTAGGCTACATCCAGTCTGGAACTAGTCTTCACACAGCCCACCTCACACCAAGCTTACAACATGTCTGGGCCGCATCCTATACTTGTATTTATTATTCATACGGAGATATTTCCAATACAAGATGGAATGTGACTGTGAGGCGCACTATGTGAGGGCAGGGGAGCAGAGCTTCAGCCATTTGGATATGGCATCACCCCTATCATTTCAGCCCCGTAGTCAATTATTCTTTGGTATGAGAGTGCGATTTAATTTATGTTGTTTGAAGGTTAAACCAGTAAACCACACCCAAATTATAACATATTTGAAATTTTAGCAACCCAAACAATTATTTTTTATGTTTATGTTTGGCATCATTGCTGTTTCTTCTTTATTTGATAAATCTCACCATTGTTATTTCTTCCTGAAACGTTTTGGATTCACCCATACAATCGTATTTGAGGCCGACATATCTTAAAATGCATGTTTCGCATCACTGACCAATTTGTATTGATCAGCCCAAAACGTTACGTTTCAGGTAGAAACATCGGTGGTACAAAAATAAATAAAAAACATTATCCAAATATTTGCTTTATTAGGGGAATTAGTTGGTTTTAATCTCAAGAGAGGTAAGATGCAAGATGATTATGAAATAAAATTGAGATAGAAGGAAGCTGTGCAAATTTTGCATTGTTTTTTTGGGTGCAACATTTGCACTGCCAATAAATGAAGAAATTACAATAATTTAGTAGAAACTTCAGAAAAAAATGAATGAAAATACTCAAATTTTGTAGAAATTTTGCAAAAAAAAAAAATGAAGAAATGCCATTTGCAGAAAAAAATGCAT